GTGTGGGTGGGTGTGTGTGTGTGTGTGTGGGTGTGTGGGTGGGTGTGTGTGTGTGGGTGTGGGTGTGTGGGTGGGTATGTGTGTGTGGGTGTGGGTGAATGGACGGCTCACCTTTTGCAACAAGATAACACAAAATAAAACCACCATCAGGACAGGGCTCACCTTTTGCAACATGGCGAGAGGCAGAGTCAGTAGCCCCGTGACCAGATCCCCGATGGCCACCGAAAAGACCAGGATGTTGGTGGACTGGCCCAGCAGCTTCCTGGTGAAGAACATCATGAGCATGGAGATGTCGCCGATGACGATGACGACAACCGCGCCGACCTCCACGATGATCAACGACCAGTGGAGGTACTCACGGTCGAATGACGTCACGTTCACGTCCACCAATGGCAGGTCGTGGTTCGACATGTTGCCTGACGTCATCATGGAGTTCATGACGTGGGAGAAAGCTCACACTCGGAGGATGTGCGGACTTTCAAACGGCGACGTCCTTTATGAGATTGTCCAGCTGATCACAAATCAATTATTGTCGGGTGTCTTGCAGTTTTGATAGAGAGTTCAAACTCAGAAGGTGGATGGTTGGCGGGTGCTCTGGTGTGGTTTGCTCCTTCTTTCCTATCAAACACCTATCGTCCTTATCTGTCGTTTTTGTGTGTTTGCTACTCCCTTGTAACACATCTAGTCTTCGGCACTTATAAGACCTTATTGCGTGGCAAGTGCCGTAAAACTCTTACGAAAACTCAAAAGATGAATGGAATATAATCCAGATCGAACAAACGGTTGTCCATACCTGCTAAACAATCAACCCATCAATCAACCAGGAGAGGTTATCGTCTGTTTCAAAATATGAAAAACTGTGAGCCGAAGCAAACGCTATAATAATAATATAGATGACCCTCAACTCCTTCAATCATATATATCTCGACTTCTGTTCATCATAGATGGAGATTATTTTCACTCCAAAAAAAGGAAAATGGACAGGCCTTAAGATGATACCTTCACCTCTGTATGCCCAAAAATTGACGAGAGCCTGATTCCACCGTGTTGAGCCACATGTTATGAGGCACAAACACCCAGGAGTTTCTGTAAACCGTTTTTTTTTTCTGGTTCTCTTAAATTGAACCTTGCTAAAACGTGTTTAGCACGTTAACTTCCAGATGATGTTTTTCGTAGAGACAGCAAGTTGGTTTCCCCGCGCTGTTCCCCGTCCTTGCGTAGAGAAAGCTAAAACTGCGTCACTTCCGCCGGTGCTCACAAACATGTCAGCATCGACGCCCTGATGACGTCAGTCTTTGCTCAGCTGCATACCACCAATCTGAAAAGAAGAAAATCGAAAAGGATGTGATTATTTATTTCTGTTTGTTCTGGCTCAGTTAAGAAATTCTAGTAAAACGTAAAGTTATCATGTTAGAAAAAGCAGCGCCTTTGTCGTTATAATATTAATAATGTAGATAATTTCTATAGCGCCCACTCCCGGGTGAACACAGCTCTAGGCGCTTTACAGAAATGTATTTACGAACAATATTCGTTTTATTCGTGTGTATTCACACACGCACGCGCGCGCACACACACACACACACACACACACACACACATTACACGCACACACGTGCACACACATGATCACCAAACACACACACACACACACACACATACACTCACACATCATACACACACACGCCTTATTGTTGTTGTTGCTTGATTTCTCGACCGAGTCAACAAACCATTGTTCGATCGTCCAAATATTGTACACTTTTGTGGTTACACCTGACGTTTTATTGTATGTTCGCTATATCGTCCAATTTTAAAAAACATTTTATCGTTACGTGTAACCGGGCTTTTAGTAAATACACGTCATGGTTAGAAGACTTGTTTGTGTGTTTGAGTGTTTATCAGCGGATTGCACTGAATGTTTCCCTGGGAGCCCAGAATGTTTCTGGGAGATCTGGCGTCTGATCGGGCAAAAGGGAGAACATCAGAGCCGAGCACTTTCGAGAAAAAACCCATCAAAGCCGCGCACTTTTTGACGATATCGATACAATTAGATTTCTGATTACCAAAACCAATACCATCCAACACTTTAAGTGACCTCTGTACTTTACTGGATTTGGGACCAATTAGATTTTGAATTGAATGAAATGGCTCTTCAGGAATAAAAACACATCTACAGGACATTAAAGATCCTTAAGGGCTGGTGGGGCACCTAGAAATCGTGTTTGGGAGTCAAATTTTGTAAATTGAGTTTATTACATATTATAGTACCTGGACACTTCTTGAACAATATCCAGAAACGTATGTCAGCCTTGCTACACCCTAAAGCTGTGTTTTTTTGTTAGGATTTTCAGCGAAAGCACATTGTCATGTTGTCTAGCCTTTTCTTACCTGTATCAGCTGTTTTCTCACAATTCTATTTTTTCCCACATTATCCCATTTTTCTGCTCTGTTTCTTGCTCAATTTCAATGCAACTTTCACAGGATACCAACAACACCTAGTTCTAAATTTTGGCTTGTTGAATTTTTGATTAATGGCGTAGTTTTTTATTTATGGGCGTAGAAAGCGTGATTTTTCCTTTTTTTCACTTTTTTTGCAACATCCCAATTGTAAGTGTCATAAAATAAAAATTAAAGGATATATAAAAAATTCAACAGGCCAAATTTAAGAACTACATATTTACTGTTGGCATGCCAAATTAGAAGTGCATCGGTTGATAAATAAGGGAATAAAATGGGATTGAAAAAGGTATACAAAATCCAATATGGTCGCCGTTTCCATAGCAACCGATTCACAATAATATACTTTTTGAACTATTGATTTTAAATCCCCAATAACACGCGATGCCCCACAGCAAATATGGGCCCTCTAGGCCTTGTAATAGCCAAAATAGACCCCAGGTGCCCCACCAGTCCTTAAAGTGTTGGGGCAGCATGAACTTGCTTATTTAGGATAAAACTGGAAGTAGAGAGACATGCCCAAGTGAGAATATTTGTCTGTTGCTCACTCTCCCTTCCTCTTTCTTGGTAGTGTCTTTCTATTTGACCTGTGTGTTTTAGTTTCAGCCTAGAAATGGTTTGAAAGTGTCCTACCGTCTCTAGAAAGACTAATATTATATTTAGATGGGGGGGG